TCAGTTGTAACTATTTAATGCTTTAATGGTATAATGGGTCGACACATATTTAAAGGAGAATTCAAAAAACATTTAATTAGTAATTTTACATTGCCATCTAACACAAATATTGGGTGCATGAATGGACACGTTCTGTTTCTTTATACTAGCAATGGTGAGTTGTTTAGCAAAACAGTTGCAAAAGTCAATGAGCATTTTAACTTGAATATTTGCTCCAGTCATATCAAAAAAGTAGTGTACATAGCCAAAAACTGGTCTAAAAATTTTTTAAGAAAATATGAAAGTTGTGTTGCATTTTGTAATGAGCCCTTTATAAACCGTGAACCACTGATTACAATTTTATCGCAGCCTATCTTAAGTAACACTAATTACACAATATCACATTCTTCTGTTTTATCATTGTCAGAACACAGCAGTGTCACATCTCTGATACGTAATGAACCTTCATGTTCTGCTGGACATGAAGCAAATTTAACTACTAGACAGACTTCAATAGAAAAATTGAGCCCTAGGAAGAAAAAATTAACTAACCGGTTGTCTCATTTGTCTTCTAGATTAGCAATTTCTTCAATAGAAAATCGTAAGAAGATAGCTTCAATGAAAGCAAAATTATCCAGCCTGCCATATAAATTAAAAGTTCTAAGGCAAAGTGTTAAAAGAAAAGAAGATATTATAAAAGCCTTAAGAGCTCAGGTTAGAGACTTAAAACATAAAAACCAAACATATTATTACAGCAGGCAAATTCGCAATCTTATTGCATCAAAAAAAGCAATAAAAATTAAAGAGAGAGAAAAGTTTAGAAAGTTAGCTCTCAAACATAATGCTGCGATTAGAAAAAATAATACGGATATTACTAGCTTAGAAGATAGTTTGACCCAAATGGACGAGGACAAGATAAGTATTACAAATACAACTGATTGTAAAAGCTATCCATTAAAAATGAGAATGATAATATACTGCATGTTATTGTGTAATGTCCCAACAAGTAACATTCCATTTCTAGTAAGCAAAATTGGGCAATATTTCAGTGTTATTTTTTCTCACATTCCTTGTCGTAGCACTATTGAGCAAATGGCTCGTGAGCTTGGCAGTATTGCTGATCTGCAGGCAGCTGAATGGATCATTAGTAATACTCATCTTACTCTTGGGTTTGACGCAACTACACAAGAAGGTGTTCATATCAACAGTATTCACTTAACTTCAATTGATAAATGCCAGGTAATTGCTGTTGATCAATTACCAGGTGGGACAGCTGTGGATTATGCGAACCATATATGTAACGAAGTGGATCATACAGCTTTAGTATATTCAAACTTTCACTTGAAACCCTTTGAAGAATGTCGTCGTATGGTCATATCAAATATTTCAAACACAATGTCGGACAGAGTATCTGTTAACCATCTTACAATAAGAAAAATTGGTGAAACTTGGGGTAAAAGTCTCAATGAATTAAACTGTCATTTGCACCCTCTTGACACAATTGCCACATCGTGTCGTTCAGCATTAAAGTCTCTAGAGCTTGATAGCTGCGAATTATATGGAAATGATTGTATAGCTGCAAAAATTGTTTTGGCTATGAATAAGATGAGGTTCAAAGATGGTAAAGGTGACCCAAAGGGATTTGTTAATTTTTTAGACAATAATAAACTACCACGAGGTATCATTCCAAGGTATCGTGGAAATCGCCTTCACATTCTGTTTCACACTTGTTTTATTTTTATAAAACATTATAACAAATTTTTACATTTTTTAACTATAGGAACAGTAAAAATAAAAACTTTACAAAGGGTTCTGCGAGTAGCATTTTGTAATACAACTGCTATAAAGCAAATGTGTCTACTTGCTTTATTTGGAAAACTTCTTACAGGGCCGTGGATGACAATGTTTTATGTGTCATCTGAGAAAGCATATTTTGATCATGTTGGTGGTATCCAGATTGTTAAAAATGTTGTGCAAACAATTAAAGACTGCAAATGCGATCCAGCTGCAATATTTTGCAGAACAACAGATTTTTTTGGAAATGCTCTCAAAGCAAATGTGTTAGAACTATTAACAAAAATATGTAGAATTGATGACGAGCTCATTGCCATGATCTTGGCTTGCCTCAATGCAATAGAAGTGGTTTTAAATCGACAGTATAAGCGCTATTTTTCCATTACCATTACAGAAGCACTTGAAAAAGAAACAGCTAGTGCAAGGCTTCATAACATAGATAGTGAAGAGTTAATGGGAATGTTCAGTGCTGCAAAAGGAAGATCTCCTAATGCATCTATTGATTATATATCTTGCAAATTACGAACCAAAAAGAATGGGACAATGGATTATCTGGATAATCTTGATGACTTTTCTAGAAAAATGGTAGTTCAGTGGTCTATTCAGGCAGCACGTAAAAAACGAATAAAAACTCGACTACAACATACTGAAATTAGAGCTGAGATTTCTAAAAGACAGACTATAAAACGCCAAAAAATTGATGAAAAAGAAAAAAGAAAGTTAGAGCAACAATTAACATTATTAACTATTAGTGAAATTCTGAATTTGTTTAAAAACTTATCTACCAAGCAAATTGATGATTTAAATGATGTTATGTGTGAAAGAATTGTTGGGAGAAATCTTTGCCATGAATGGTATGATTCCGATACAGCAATGACAGTTTTGTATAATGGCAGAGTAGAAAAACTTAAAAAAGCTCAGAAAGATATTATATACACTATTTCTTATTGGACTAGAGAAGAAAATGATACTGAAGCAGTTGATTATTATATGAAAAAATTCCAGCTAGTTGCTGACATTGTATCCGGTGAGTTGATGTTTTCCTAATGTAAATATGTTGCATTTATTTTTTTTATAATTAAAAATGCATTTTATTATCTTACTACTTTATTTTACTATTTTTTGACTTTCTATCTCTCTCTCTCTATATATATATATATATATTTATATATATAGAGAGAGATAGAAAGTCAAAAAATAGTAAAATAAAGTAGTAAGATATATATATATATATATTTATATATATATATATATATATATTTATATATATATATATCAATAATATGCAAATCTATATATATCAATAATATGCAAATGTACAGCGAGAAGTGGTACTTGCAAAAAAAAAATATAGCAAGTAGTGGAACTTGCAAAAAAAAAATATATAGTAAGTAGTGGAACTTGCAAAAAAAAAAATATAGCAAGTAGTGGAACTTGCAAAAAAATATATAGCAAGTAGTGGAACTTGCAAAAAAAAATATAGCGAGTAGTGGAACTTGCAAAAAAAAAAATATAGTAAGTAGTGGAACTTGCAAAAAAAAATTAAGCAAGTAGTGGAACTTGCAAAAAATTATATAGCGAGTAGTGGAACTTGCAAAAAAAAAAAAAAATAGCGAGTAGTGGAACTTGCAAAATAATATATAGCAAGTAGTGGAACTTGCAAAAAAAAAAGTATAGCAAGTAGTGGAACTTTGCATAAAATATATATAGCGAGTAGTGGAACTTGCAATTTTTTTTGATAGACGGCTCTGGCTTACGTTCACGTCGTGTCTATTGTTAACAATGATTAATATATAGTTTCATTAATGGAATTTAATATCTTAATCATTAACTAAAAGCCAAGACGCAAACTAATTAGAATAATATTATAAAACATTTTTTGTTTTTGAAATTCTTTTTTAGGTCAGAGGGGGAACCATCTATAACTATCACAAAGCATTGTGTGATGTATTTTGAGTTTTGGTAAAAGATGTTTTTAAGTTAAAGTGTTTATTTTCATTGCATTTAAATATTTTTTCGAATCTCATTAAAAATAGCTTCTTTTTTTTAGGTTGTCAAAAAAAAAGGAAGAGGGGGGGCAACGACACGCCCCCTCGCCCATCTACACCCTTGAAACAAAGGGTGCGCTGCTAGTGATTTTGTATAGTAGTAAAATATAATTTTTGATTTGAATACTAGATTTCTTTTTAATTATAAAGATAAATATTTATATAGAGTCATTTTTGATAATAGGGTGTATTAAACTATCACCCTTACATCCACCCAAAGGCAATGATGAGTCTTCTATATTTGATTGTGATCTGATAGCTAATTACAAAAACATCTTGCATATAAAAATTTACATTTTCATTAAAAGAAAACACTTTTTTATAAATATAGTAAGTCTTTATTGCCGGTAAGGATGGTGGTTTTGTGCCCCCTCTTACCCCCGGATGCGCCCGTTATCTAGAAACTTTTATAAATTTGTAGATGACTCTTGTATCTATCTTTTGATACCAAGATATAAACATTTGGATAAGAATTGGTTAAGTTATAATAATTTTAGTTAATAAAAACTTTATTTTGACCACAGTTTCTTCAACAAATCCTAATATCAAAAAATCGGTACTTAAAACGTCATAACTTTTTGTAGGGTGGTTCAATTTTGAAAATTTTTTCACTTTTAGAATATTGACATTAAGCTCTTTTTAATGATATATAACAACCTATAATTTGATGAATTTAAAATTTTCATGTGACATACCTACAATGTAAAGTTATTGAAACTTATTAACTTTACATTGAAGGCAAATAATTTAATTTAACTGAATTTTAATGTTTCCTTACTTGAAAGTTGAATTTTTTAAAAATGTAACTGACATATTAGTAACATTATAACATATTTTATCTTACATTGTAATCATTAAAAAAATTGTTGTACCATGATGATCATGATACAACAATTAGTCTCTCCAATAACAATTGTAATAAACTACTACTAGTAGTAGTATATTACAATTGTTATTGGAGAGTCTTGTTGTATCATCATGATACAACAGTAAGTAGTATATTGTAATTGTTATTGGAGAAAAAAGTCTAGTTTTTACCTAGACTTTTTTATAAAAAGATGCACGATAATCATCTTTTTTTTTTAATGATTAACTGTTAATCTTTCAACTGTAACAAATAATATAAATTAAATATGGTCATATTTAACTAATATATGTTAGCAACCTTATTCAACTTTTATGTATAATAAATGTAACGTAAATAATCAAGAACATTTGTTATATTGTTTAGCTGCCCAAAGCAGTCCTACGGCAGCAGCCAACAATATCAGTTAGTTATTTTAAACATTAAATATTCATTAGTTTCTTTTAACTTAAGATCAGTAGATTTATTCAAATGTTTGTATTATTTTGCTAAAAAAAGTTTTTCATTTTTTGTTTAGATGATGCTTTTGAGAGGATAAGTCAGTTTTTTTTGGCGATTTATTATTTTAGTATTTAGTCTTTTGCTCTCAATATTAAATTATATATCTTTATTATGCTATGTGTTTTGTACCGATTTTTGTGCATCCACAAAGTTTTTTCACAGTTGTTTATTTTGTATATTCCTGATTATTTCTTGCTTTTTATTGAGTCATTGTTATTTTTTTTCTATAGACAATTTAGAACAAACTATTAGTAAGTAAAGTTTGAACTATTTTAGTTATTTAGTCATTTGAACTTTTTTTTTTTGTAATGTTAGTCTGATAATTTAATTTTATAATAAAGTTAGTATATTTAAATTGGCTTTTAGGCGAATTCAGACAGCAGTTTTGTAAGTTTAATAAATTTAAACAATTTCAATAGTATAGTTTAATGATTCATGCTAAGATTATTATTTAATTGATACACGTTAAAGCTGTTTACTCTATTGACACACGCTAACTAAAGATGTAACGAAAAGTGTAACTTGAAATTAAGTTTATTTTAGTAAACTATTGTTATTACTATTGTTACTATTTTTTCCTTTTAATTCTTTAGCAACACTTACTTCATTAATTGGTAAGAGATTAAGGTGTATTTTTATGTTTAAGTATTGAGAAATATAGTTTGATTTTGTGTATTATGCAGTATTGTACTATTTAATATGTACTATGTTATTGTATATTTAATATGTACTATGTATTTATATTTAACATGTAATATTTACATGTACCATTTAATTTTTTGTGTCATTGTATTATTTAATCTTTCATATCCTTGTCATCTGTTGCAGCTGGTAAGGTTTCTATATTATGATATTTCAAAATTATTTATATGGCAAAGTAATTGCAAGAGTAAGTTTTTTGTTCATTACATTTTTTTTTTTTTTTTGAAGTATCATCTATAGCTGCTCTATCTGGTAAGGTTTTTTTATTTTAACTTTTGAATATATTTTTAATATTCAAATTTTAATAATAACTTCAAGATTGGTATGTGTATTATATGCTTCCATATTTTAAAGTTATTTAAAAATTTTATTTTTTTACTTTGTAACATGATTTAATAAAAAAAATCATGCAATATATTTTATACTAATCCAACTGGTAAGTTTATTTATTTTAACTTTGTATTAAGACTTTCATAGCAAGGTAATTATGAAAATAATAAATTATTATGATTTTTTTTTTTAGTACCACCATTATCTGTTTCAGCTGGTAAGAATAAATATATTATAATTTTGCAGCATTTTTTAAACGCAAAATAATTTAAGGATTTTTGTTTGTATTATGTTTTCAATTTTTTAGTTCCACCTTCCACTGATCTAACTGGTAAGGTTGTATATTTTTGCTTTGCAATATGATTTGCAATAAGATTGTGTAAAATGCTTTTTCATTTCTTTTTTAGTGCCATCATCATCTACTCCAACTGGTTAGTATATATGTTTTAACTCTGCAATATGATTTTAAATAGAATTTGTTATTAAGATTGTGTAAAATACTTTTTTATTTCTTTTTTAGTGGCATCTTCATCTGCTCCAATTGGTTAGTATATATGTTTTAACTCTGCAATATGATTATAAATAAAATTTATTTTTAAGATTGTGTAAAATGCTTTTTTATTTCTTTTTTAGTGCCATCATCATCTACTCCAACTGGTTAGTATATATGTTTTAACTCTGCAATATGATTTTAAATAAAATTTATTTTTAAGATTGTGTAAAATGCTTTTTTATTTCTTTTTTAGTGCCATCATCATCTACTCCAACTGGTTAGTATATATGTTTTAACTCTGCAATATGATTTTAAATAAAATTTATTTTTAAGATTGTGTAAAATGCTTTTTTATTTCTTTTTTAGTGCCATCATCATCTACTCCAACTGGTTAGTATATATGTTTTAACTCTGCAATATGATTTTAAATAAAATTTATTTTTAAGATTGTGTATAATGCTTTTTTATTTCTTTTATAGTGCCATCATCTGCTCTAACTGGTTAGTATATATGTTTCAACTCTGCAATATGATTTTAAATAAAATTTATTTTTAAGATTGTGTTAAATGTTTCTTGATTTTGATTGATGTATAATGCTTTGTTATTTTTATTTTTTATTTTTTATTTTTTAGGTTGGGGGAGGGGGTTACACGCCCCTTCTGTACATCAATGCAAGTTGTGTATTTGAATTCCTGTAAAATATAGTTTTATTATGTATACTATTGATTTCAATGTAGTAAAGATAAAAATTTTAATGAAAACAAGTTATTTTTGATGCTAGGGTGTATCAAACCATCACCACCGCACCACCTCCATCGTTAACATACGCACTCATATAATCGGTGGTTTAATATAATTTTATAACAACTTTTTTTGTATATTTAAATTACTTATGTCTTGAAAAAAAACTTTTTTTCTGAAAAAAATGTTCAGTTTCATTAGGGTAAGGTAGTGGTTTGGTGCCCCCTCTGTCCATCCGATACGCCCGGTGGTTAGAGTTCAACAAAAAATTTGTAGCCCACTCTCACACCTATCTTTTGACACCAAGATATTTGTATTTTGATAAGAATTAAGAAAGTTATGACAATTTAAGTGAGGAAAAACATAATTTTGACCACAGTTTCTTCAACAATTCCATATATCAAAAAATCGGTACTTAAACCGTCATAACTTTTGAACCAATTGTTCGATTTTTAAAATTTTTTCACCTTTAAAATACTGTATTGATTCTCTTTCCAATGATATATAACAGTAGAATATTTAAACAATTTGAAATTTTTACTCACGTACCTACTTAATACCAAATTTTTGTCAATGATTTTTCTAATATATTATAGTTTTTCAATTTGTATTTTTTACCACTGCGAAACCATTTAAATAAAGAAGAATGATAACCATTTATTTGGCAATGAAAAAAATTAGAATTTTATTAACAGCTATTGACTCCAAAACAGTTGGTATGCCTGATATTTCTTGGCTGCTGTAAATAAATAGCCTGATTTGTTACATTTTAATTGCTGTATGTTTGAGACATGCAGCATAATAAAGTATTTACAATGCAAAACCTTGTTTTGCAGTGTAAATAATTTAAAGAAAAGTTTATGTTTTCTACTTAATAATTGCAATTATAATAAATACAAAATTACAAACCTTTAAAATTATTTCCAATGGAGAGTTGTGGGTAGTTTTAGCAATATGTAAGATTATTTTTAGTAGCATGTTAATATGTGTTGATATAGCTATCTGAAAGCCTATTTCAGTATTCTTTGTTATTGGAATAAACTGAAGCAGGCAATCAGTTAACAGAAAATCTAGCACAAAATAATTTAAGTAATCAAAGAAAATCTAACTAATATTAAACCATTTTAATAAAATAAAAATAAAACAATTATAGTGCAAACAAGACTCTTAACCATAACAAAATTTAAGTTTTTATACTTAGGCCGTAAAAAAAACTGGCCTCTTAATTTTTTACGGAAAATGCAACAAATCAGGCCGTGTAATTTAAGTAGGCCATGATGTAAAACAATTTTAAATTTGCACCACGTAATTTTATTTAAATCTTTTTTTTATTTAGACAGCCTAACTATATTACTTCCGCTTTCAAACAAATTACTGTTTTTAATATATAAACTTACATAGTACAAGAAAAGAAAATACAATAATTGAAATTAAACAGCATTATTTAAAACTCGTAAAAGAAATACATATTTATATGCAGGGGCGGATCCAGGGTGTCGCGAATGATGCGCATGCATCAGTCTTTTTTCAACGCTAAATTTAAGTGTATCTCTTTTTCACTTTTTTTTCTTAATAAAAAGTAAAAGTAGAAATTGGAATCTGGCATTCACAAAAAATAAAATACTTGTTTTAAACTCGAAAAAAATTCATTTAAACTCGATTTTATTTTATCTCTATAGTTACTTTTTCGTTACTTATACAAAATTCCTGCGTTTTGGAGCAACTGATGCAATTGTTCTTCATTAAATACAAATGTTATTGGTTTAAAAAAAAAAATTACGTTTTAACCAATCATATTTGTACTTTTTCACAAATTTTTCCGATCACTTTGTAGCAACTGATGCAATTGTACTCTAAATCATTAATGATTGGTTAAAAAACAGTTTAAACCAATCACTATTTAATAAAATAACAATTGCATCAGTTGCTACAAAACTTCCGCAAAAAACTTTACAAAAAATATAAGAAATGTTATTTATAACCAATCAAATTTGTAGAAAGTTTAGAACAATTGCATCAGTTGCTCCAAATCGTTCAAATTTTACAAAATTCTGATATGCCACCTGATAAACGTTCTTCACTCGTAATTTTCGTCGTTGGACTTTGCTTGTAAACTAAAGTTAAAAAAAAAAATGAATTTTTTAGTCTCAAATGCAATTAAGGCTAGACATTTGCCAAATATTCGGAAATATAAAAACCAGTTGACTGAAGAATTAAAAGTTTTAAATAATAAGAGTCCAGTTCAGCCACATAGTCAGTATCTGAAAATACTGAAATGGATCGTTTTATCCCAAAGCAAGAAGATACTAAAGATTATGTTGCTTTAAGGTAAAACCCTATTATTAAAGTTAATGGTATTTTATATTCCTATTAGATCAATTTATCCAGATTTTGGCTTAGAAAAGTTCAAAAAACTTTTTAATACAATTATTTTTCCATTTCGTTCAATTAAAAATCAAGATCAAAATGTTTTAAATATTTTATGGTGTAATACTGATATTATGTCAGTGATGCAAAATAATAATAACTGGACACCGAACCATTTTGTACCAATTATTAAAAAGCCTAAACTAATTTCTAGTAATAATAAGAATTTGGCTATAAAAAACGATGCTACTTATCCTTTAAACTTTTTTAGTCCTAAAACTGAAACAAATAAAAAAAAAAAACTTGATTCTGCAAAACATGTCAAAATTCAATCTAAAATTAACTTTAAAAAAAAAAATGCTTTCATAGAGTTGCCTTTTGAACCTTCTGTAGATTCAAAAATAGTTAAGTCATTAGACTCCAACTCAGTTATTATTCCTTCATATAATGAATTAAATTCTTTGTATGATGTTTCAACATATCTTGTTCAAGGTAAACTTTTAATTGCTGGCAAAGATGACTCTATTTTGTATGGTAAACAAAGTATTTTGTCCTAATTCTATCCAATATCTTTTAATACAAAAAGATCATTTAAATTTGAATGGCTCAGCCAGTTTTCTTGGTTAGCTTATTTTAGCAAAGAAGATGAAGCTTACTGTCTTCCTTGTACTTTGCTAGGTGCTAGTATTCAAAATAAGTCTGGAATATTAAATTTAGTTTTCAAGCCCCATCAAGAGTGGGGTAATGCTGTTCGTGATTATAGAAAACATGAGGAAAATTGTGTTTTACATGAAAAATCTATGCTTTCATTTAATGCATTGCTTTCAAGTTGCAATTCCAAAAGTAATGTTATTGAGGTTGATTTAAATAATTCTTGTTTGTAACTTCTTTCTGATAACCGAAAAAAATTAGTTCCAATAATTAAAACAATAATATTTCTTGGTAGAAACGATCAAGCATTTCGTGGACATCGTGATGATAGCAAATATCATCCTGATATTGGGGAATCTTCTACACAAAAAGTTGGAGTCGGTAACTTCATAGAGCTTTTAAATTTTCGTGTTGATGCTGGTGATCAAGTATTAGCTAATCATCTTTTTTCAAGTCCAAAAAATGCAACCTATATATCAAAAACTACCCAAAACCAACTTATTGATTCTTGTGGGAAAGCAATTGAGGAAGTTTTAATAAAAAATGTCAAGCATTCAATTTTTTTTTCAATTCTTTGTGATGAAGCAGTTGACTGTTCAAATACTGAACAAATGTCACTTGTTTTAAGATATGTAAATTCAAATAATGAGATTTGCGAGGATTTCTTAAGATTTATTGATTGCAAGACTGGTACATCTGGTCTTAGTCTATCTCTAAATGTACTTAATGCACTTCAAGAGTTTGGACTTGATATTCAAAATTGTAGAGGCCAAGGGTATGACAGTGCAGGTTGTATGGCAGGTGAGTATAAAGGAGTTGCTTCTCAAATAAAAGCTCTTATCGTGAAGCTATATTTTTTCATTGTGCAAGCCATAGACTTAGTTTAGTAGTAGCAGCTGCATGCCAAGTTCAAAAAGTAAAAAATCTTCTTGGCCAAGTAAAAGAAATTTCTTATTTTTTTAACTTATCTCATAAACGTAGTAACTGTCTCAAAAAATATTTAAGTCCAAATCAAGAAAAAATAAAAGATACTTGTCGAACAAGATGGGTTCAAAAGCTGAGAGGTGTTGATGTTTTTTTTGATAATTTTTATTCATGCTTTAGAGGAGATGGGGTTAAATGAGTCAAAGGAATATAACAGTGAAACTGCTTCCAAATCCTCTTCTTTTTTAAGATTATTAACAGATTTCTCTTTCATTGTAAGTTTAGTTATTACAAAACAATTAATGGATTTTTTTTATGCAATTACTGTAACTCTTCAAACTAAATCTTTTGACATATCCAAGCAGTGTTTTGAAATAACTAATCTAAAAAATCTGTTATTAGAAATTAAAAATAAAATTGATATATATCACACTGAATGGTTTGCTATCGCTCTTAGTTTGGCCAAAACTCTTGATATACAAGAAGTGAGACCTAGATTGTGTAATGTCCAGGTTTACCGGGATAATTATCCAACAAATACAGTTTGTGACTATTTTAAACATAGCATTACTTCTCCATTAATTGAACATCTTATTAATGAGCTAGATAATAGGTATAAAGGTCTAGCAGCAGTTCCTTCAACTGTACTATCCAGAATACAACTTAAAAAAACCATGGAAATCTGATTTTTATGAATTTTTAAATTTCTATTCATCTGATATGCCTCATTTTACTTCAATACATGCTGAGTTATATTTACGGGAATTATTTTGGATAAACCAGTCAAGTATTCCTTCAACTGTTGCTGGTACTTTAAAGTCCATTGACATGAGAGGTTTTCTAAATATAAGGACAGCATTTATAATTTTAGAAACAATTCCAATAACAACTTGTGAATGTGAAAGAAGTATTTCAGTTATAAGTAGGCTAAAAACATACTCCAGAAGTAATATGATTGAGTCTCGCTTTAACTCTTTAGTTAAGAGTTAAAGCGAAACTCTTTCAACATTTTCCAGATGTTGAAAGAGTTATTGACATTTTTTCAAAGTCAGGTGAAAGAGGTTTAGACTTAGCTTTT